TGGCAGAGCTGATGATAGCCTGGAGCAGCAAGGTTATGATGCTGAGAAATAATAATGACAGAGCAACAAAAACCCACTTGGGCAGAAGGTGAGATAGTCATTCATTTTTCTCCCTGTCTGCAGCAATCTAACAGTCGGACGGAGAAAAGGTCGTGTTGGATCTCATAAATACGCACAGGCTTTATGTATACATGGTGTTGTGCGGAGATGCAATAATAGGTGCATCCAATTATGGCAGCAAAAAGCACACACGTGAGGAAAGTGACATTTTTCACACGCAGTCTGACACGTTTCAGGACATCAAAAGTCCATTTCGTACTCCCACACCGTGTAGTGGTCTAGCTGCAGGCTCATTACGACCTCCACGTCCATTTACCCAAATATAGGCAACTGTGACATCCTCTGTTCACGCATGTTCAATCAAAGTAACCCACGGCGCGACGCAGTCGAAGAGGGCTTGAATAGAGAAAGAAGGTCTATTGTGAGGCCTAATTGTGGCCTATTTGTAAGCGACCTACTCTTGTCTTCAGGCAGGTCGGCTCTAAAGCATCTCCCTCCGTCTCTCTCAACGCCCACCAGGACTCTAAACATAGACCAGCAGAGCTGCTGACCCACGCGGCCGCTCCTCCACTATACGGCTATTATCTGTTACCGGAGGATAGATCCAGGGTCCTCTGATGGGCATTTTCAATTCATTCATCCTCAAAACAGGATGATGCAGCGGCCTCTGAATGGATGCTCAGTGGGTGCTTGGTTAAATGCTGTATGAAGCGCATTCCCCACATTTAGCAGACCCACAATACTCATGATATTTTATTGGATTTGATCCTGGGCGCAGTGAGGCTCAATGTGTGCACTATAAAGGAAAATATTAACCACATGTCCAGGTGCTTGAAATAATCAGGACTAGTGTTTCCTGTGCACGTATCTGGAAGACAAATACCACTACTGCACTGGTTTAATGTCCTTATCATTTTCCACAAATCGTACCTGTATTATGAATGGTGGACGTTTATTACATTCAGTAACTTGAATTTCAGCCCTTATTAACTGGGTTCAGAAGTAAGCAGACCGACCCCTTGTTAGATGAGTTATATCTGTACAGATACAGCCTGAAGATATTTAGTCGACAATAGTGCCGAAAGACCCCAAAATGAAATTTGGATCGTACGTTGCCTGTGCGTAAATGCGCGCGATAGAGCCAGAGAATGACAGAGGTAGAGTGCGAATGAAAAGCCGCTGGGGCCACAGGTGTTTTCCCTCTGTGAATGCATCCTTTAGTGCAATCATGAGAACATTTAATGCTCAAATATGACCAAGTTTATAAACAGTAAACACCCTGAAATTGAATGAGAGACACCAAATCACACAACTTTCAAATAAACTGGGGGAAATGTGCAGCATTGCTCCTCACATCTTCAACACGTGGGAGGACAGACATTCGTCTCACTCTTATTTTTGCTCATGTAAGGCCTCTGATTTTACAGTTTAAAGCGCACAAGACTGTAATCTTCTGTACCTCCTCTTTCCCTGCAGTGCGCACTCAGCTCCCATTTCATAACACATCAAAGTTGCGGCAAAGCCACATGCAGCTTATGTAGCCCGACCAGCCCTGTATGTGCCACATGGTAATTTGTCTGGAGCTCTAGCGCCACCCAATGGAAGCTGTAGTGCAGGCAGCTGCGGGAGCCACGGGAGTGCGGAGTGCCTGTTGCGCAGTACAGTGTGTGACTGCATAGCTGAGACTGTGCTGGAAGAACATGAGCTGCATTACTTCATGCTCTCAGGAGTGCAAGAAAAAGGCTACGGAAATAAATATTCATGTTTGAAAAACAAATAACCTGAATGTACAGTTCACAACTGGCATGTTTTGGGATTTTTTTATTTTATTTATTTTTTTACATATACATAGCTCAAAATGTCATGTTTTGCATATTAATATTGTCGGTAATGGTCTCTCATTTCTAAATTTGCTGAGTAAAGTGTGCATCAGTTAAAGTCATATTATAAGCATATAAAAATAAATGACTGAGGAAGGAAACAGCCTTTAGACCAGTTTGACTCATATATTAAAATAATATTAGTAAAATATAAGATAAGTCAAAACAAGACACATCAGTTCCAACTAAAATCTGCCTTTCTCACTTTTCAAGCTTAAAAATGGATGAGCATGAGAGTTCATTTCTCAGTTTGGAAATAATAGTTCGATGGTAATAATAGCAGCTTTCAACCACACTTTACAACCTCCAGTAGATGGAGTTTGCTCTGAGTAAACCTCATCGATTAATAAAGAAGAAGATGTAAGTGAAATGTCTGGGGAAAGCTGATGAGTTGTCAAACTTGCTGTAAGAGAAAAGTATTAAAACTATATATAAAAAACAAACACCAGTGTATTTCAAGGTATGCACAGGGTGTACTCTAACTTCTAAATCCCCTATCAGTGGATAAGGTGTAAGATGTACTTTCCTCTCGACCAGAAACCCCAGGTTGCAATGTCTGCAGGAGAAAAAACATGTTCAACACCAGCTTGCCATCAAGCCCACAGCCTCTCAGCTGAAGAACAAGCCACCAACAGCACAAATGGACCAATTGCTGGAGCCTGTCAAGCACAATGGTTTGTTAATGTAAAAGGCCTTTTGACTCCAGCTGAGAAAAGCTGTTCCCTGCTCCAGTGAGCCCGGAACAGCATGGAACATGAGGCCAACAAGGTCAAGGCCAGCAGTTAGAGTGAAGCCTCTTGCCAGCAGACCAAACAGGGCTCTCAGCAGACGGAGATCTTGATCGAGATCCTGCAGACTCGACGGTCTGGCTTCTCGGAGGAAAATCTAGTGAAGGAAAATGAGGACAAATGGCACTGGAGCAGAGAAACACAAGAGAAGAACAAAGTGACAGCTGTTTTGACCCAGGCAGAGAACCAACTGGAGAGCCACTGTCTCCAGTGGCAGGACGACATGTCCCTGTCCCCTCAGGGCTTCAAACCAGAGCCACCGGGGACCTGGAGGTTAAGCAGCCAGTGTGGCAGATGAGCAGGAGAGCTGTGATGGACAGAAGTATTCAACTGGAGCCGATTGTGGAAAAGAAATCAGAGATCCTTCATCTCTGTGAAGACAGAGATTTAAGATTATTTTAATATTGTAAATACATTTGAGTTTTCTTTTCATTGTAATAAAATGCTATATCTTTTTTGTTTGATTTAGTTTTCATTCACTATAACATTGCCCTCCACCCTGTCACACCACCACACTATCCCCAAAGTTCCCCAAACCCTTTTTGATCTATTTTAAACCAGATTTAATTGCAATGTAACAGTTTCACAGTTGTTTTTAATTAGCATTTTTTCACCATATTTCCCCAAAATAATTCCTTTCTACTTTTGCCATAAAAAGCTATCTGTGATATTTTCAAAATAATGAAATACTTTTATAACTATTTTTGTTTTTGCTTTTTCCTGTTGTCAAAAGTATTCTTCTAACACTGACTGTGATAACATTTTGACATTATGTTTTCCCTGATTTTGTGCGTGCGTGTTTCTGTAGTTTTGTAACCTGCTCATGTGGTTTTGCCATTTGAATTGCACTATTATTATTATTAAAAATCCCCCAAAAGTTTTTGGGCCCAGGACACCAGTTGTTGTTTTTAATTGCCTTTGTTCTGTCTCATGTACTACTGTCAGGACACAGTGAAAATGTCAGCAAATATGACAAAAAGTAATTTTTATAAAGGTTACCTACTGCAGCTTTAATGAGAATACTCTTCTCTTCATGTATTTAGGATACTGCATGTCCAAGTAATGAGATGAAATGATGAAAGAGACTCTCAAAAAGGGTCCCCGTTCCTGATCACTACGTCCTTCCTACCTGTAAATATAACTTCAATACTTGCACTCAAGTTGATCTATAAATGAGTGTTGACTGAACTTGTGTAAAAGATGAGAACGGGTCCATCACCTGAAACAAAAATGAAGGCTTCAGGCCATGCAGTCGGAATGAGTACAAGGAGAGTCAAAACCAGGCCCAATAAACTCCAAATCCCAACAGATGTCCAAAATAATTACCACAATCTGTCACCCAAGGATAAAAATAGGTGATCTTTAAATATTTTGCATTATTAATGAACTACTGTAGTAATGTCATCAAACCCAGTCGCCTCTAACCTCAATTAGCACTGCGGATATTGGAAGAGAGGATCAAAGGAATCAGGAGTCATTTTGACACTCATCTTCTATCACAGGTGAGAAAATTATAGTTTTTTTTAGTAAATTCCTGTTATTAGATGGCAAATATAGAAAGGTATTTAATCTTATAAATATAGTCTGATTTACAGTATGCTGTATTTGAAAATGTACATGTAGAAGTAATGTATGCTAGCAAAATCTTTCAAAGTGAAAATCAATGTATGTCAGCTTCCTGAAATGAACACCAAAATAAAAAATTCATCAAAATAAACAAATCCTCAAAATCTATTTATGACCTGGAACAATTTCTTAGGGAGCTCTGTCACCAGGAGGTTGCTAGGCAACCAGCACAAACTCCTGATTCATAGTGCTCAGATATTAAAGTGGTATATATATTCAGATCTCTGCAATAAAATGAATTTCCAAAACTATTCAAACTATTTATTTTAAATGTGTTATGACAATTGTATCCTGTAACACATTGGCTATATTTAAACATGTGAAACTTAATGCAGAAAAAGGAAACTAGTCAATTTGTTGTTAAAATTCTCCAAAGAAAATCAAAGGAAATTTAATAAATGTCCCTTTATGGAGAAAGGAGAAAGATATTCTCCCTCTCTACCTAAATAAACCACATAAAGAGCCACAGGATTAGCTGGAAAGATGCTGTTGTTTTCAGGCTTCATGAAAAATAGACTCAGTGAAGAATGTAGATCTGAGCTTTTTATATATTTTATGAAGGGACCATAAACATTGTTAGCATGTATAGATCAGTTTATATTGATAAAGTGACACACCAGCTCTCTATTCAAGGACTGCTTTATTGGTATGAGACAGATTCAATAAAGTGCCAAAGTAAAAATAAGATGAATTTACATTCAATAGATGTTGAAGTCAATTTTCTCCCATTAACACATTTTGTAGCCAAGTTAAAAGCAGGCAAACTCCATATCTTAGTTTGTGACTAAAAGATGCTCTGCAAGAAGCCACAGTGGCACATCCACCCTGCTGAAGTATCCGCTCCTCTACGACCCTGACCTCTGACTTCCCTGATGTGACAAGTGAAGTGAGATCAATAGTGTTTGCTGAGAACATGGGACCTTACACTAGCACTGTGTGTGCCAGCAGCACACTGAGGAGGCTACCGAGCAAAGCTATTGAGCCACGAACTGCCCCGGCTGCGTTCCTGTCATTTGTGAGGGTGCTGTGAAGCACGGGTGCTTCAGTTTGCCCCTGGCAGTGCCTCTGGTCAGTGCCCACGCAGGCAGCATAGGCCATGGCGTGGGCGATGTAGTTCTGCTCTTGGACGCCCTGGAAGAGGTGTCCCATGGGCCCGCGGGCGAGCACTGCCACATCCTCTCCGCTGTGGGTGGCCGACTCTGTGGGGACGGCAGACAGCTGGACGTAGTCCTTAGTTTCTGGAGACAGAAATATTACATTGCATTAAACTGCCACTTTTGTCCAAAGCAATTTACAATAAGGAAGACCTTTAATACATACTTACTCCATTTCCTACTTGAACTGTAATCTATTGATTTTTGTTGTCATATTACCTTGTCATTTTCTTTCTTGGTTTATAAAACAAATATTGCAAATTAAATAAAAAAAAGAATGTCAGAGAACGAGAACGTAAAACTGATTATATTATAAGGAAAGGTTATACTGTATTATAGGACATGGATCTAAACACAGTAGGGTAAAAATTTAAAGGTCATTCCGAATAGTTTTCTAATCCCCATTTGTTTCTGGTTTATTTGGTTCTGGCATTGTCCTTGTACGCATTCAAGATAAAGAAAATAAAGCAATATGTTGCTGACTGGACTGGACTGACTTAAGGAGTGTTGTAACTGCTCTGGGAATTTGATAAAGTCTGTGATATTCTCGTGAGGAAAATAAAGAAATAATGAGTCTTACTAGTGTTGACATTGCGGATGTCTGGGCGCTTGCCGTTGGTGATTTTGTGTCCCGGTCCGTTGCCGTACATCAACGTGGTGTAAGGCAACATGTCTGTAGCCCACAGGGGAGATTTACCTGGAACATACAGAAAGACCATGAAACAATATCTTTGATTTATCTTTTTCGTTTTTCCTCTTTGCCTCAAAGTGGTAAACACATACACACATGAATACACACACACACACACGAGAAGGAGGGGTCTCTGGATCCCCAGGGTGCTGCACAAGGTCTACAGCTTGTTGAGTATCTCAGTTTCTCTCCAGATGAGCCATTAGCCTGGCGAGTCTCCCCGCTGATGAAGAGCTCAGAGTTTCACAAGCACATTAATCACTGCTGCACCGCTGGGAGGAAGAGGAGGAGGAGGAGGAGGAGGGTAAAATAAGGATACGACAGGAATAAGAGAGTAGAAAGGTGGGAACAGCATGACAAAAGACAAGTGCTCAATCAATAGAGGCTTTGAAGGCTCACACAGAGATATGTTTGTGGGCTGAATCTTTAAAAGTTTATATCGTCATGCCAGGATGTTATTCTGGGCAGTGTGGTAATGCCTCTGAAACAGCATTTAGACTTTTACAAGATAGTAAAATTGCTTGTACATACCTGGTCGAAAGTCGACCAAGGGTCCAAATGGGCTCAAATTAACCCTTTGTTATGGCTCGGTCAATTGGCCTGTTTAAACATTTGGGAAAGAGGAAAAAAACTAGTATGAGGTAAGCATTTTTTTTACTGAAAATCAATGGCTTTGTTTATTTTCTGGTGAAAACATTTACAAAACATTTACATCCTTCATATGATCTTCGGGTCAGTGTGACCCGCATACACAGACACAGACACAGACACACACACTAACACACACACACACACACACAAACAGATAATGTTACATTATTATAATCTAAGTACAGAGAAGCTGTTTGCTCTCACTTTCCCGCACTCTTTACCCTCTGTCATGTGTCCACCTGCAAACCCCTTTTTGTTACATTTTCTCGAACTATATGCCTTGCACCTGCACATCAAGGGGGCTGGACAAAAGAGATAAATACCTCTACATCATTCTCTGCTGAAGAAGCCCAAGAGCCAGCCACTGGAAGAGCCCCACAGACATATTTGTCTAAGAATGGACAGATTGAATGGTCTTCCTTAATTTTTTCCAAAGATAAGCAGGATTTATGACACCCAAGCATAGTGTATTTTAACATCAATTATAAGCTTATCGCAATAAAAAAGGAACCACACTTCCATTGTTAATTGTGTTCTGGTAGAGACTGATTGCAATCATTAAACATGTATTGTATCTCAATTGTTTGAAATCGAGATAAAAACAATATATGTTAATGGTTTATGAAGTACAATTTATTTCAGAATTGTTTTTAAAATGACTTGAGGGATACCAGAGAGTCCGAAAAGTGAAGACAATACAAGGGTTAATACTCACTGGGTACCTATGGGTATTACCCACTTACATGGAGTAAAGGGTAACAAATTCAGTGTGTAGGAGGGACCTAGAAATAAATAATACTGCAAGTACTTCAATTAGCCAGTACACATTAAAGCTTCGGGGCACAGGCAGGGAACCAAAAGGCTTAGCCTATATTTCCTTTCACAATAGCTATGTATTGAATAGGAATGTGTGGCACAAGATTTTTCTTTAACATCAGTTCTGATTGAACATAGCATGATTAGCTAACTAAAGAGGTGCACCCTTTCTAATGCTTAGCCGGATGATTTAAAACAGAAGCATATAAATGGAATTCAGCCACCATTCATTTTATTATTTACACCCATGCTTTTCCAACATTGACGCAAACCAATAAATCAGTTAATAACTTCTGTTCCTGCATAGGGTAGGTTTAACTGGGGTTGTAAGCCTTCCAGGTAAAGGAGAGGGAACAGTGATGGAGAGGAGACAGGGACTTGAAGCATCAGAGTTAAGGAGCAAGTAAGGTCGATAAAGAGATGCTCCAAAGGGAGATTAACAGGCGAGAAAGACTGACAGAACTAGCAGAACTTAAGAGAGAATAATGTAAAGGGAGAGAGAGGCGTCAGTGACGATGGTCAGAGACAGGCAGAGGGGAAGAGAGATGAGGAGAAAGCAAGGGACTGAAATAGAAAGGCGAGGGAGAGAAAGGCTGCCAGCTATATGTGTTTACCCGGGCTGTAATTGCAGGGGAGAGAAAGCAGAGGAAATGTCAAGCTGCTGGTGGCAGAGGCACACACTGAAGCTGAGAGGAAGCAGGCATTACACACAAAATGACACACACACACACAGCAACAAGCAGAAAATGCCACCTTGGGTGTCTATTGTCAGGGGATATAAACACACCTGGAAGGGGGGAATGAATGGATGGAGCAAAGGATGGAGGGAAGAAAGGAGGAATATGGGAGGATTTCTCCAAGGGGTTGAACTGGTTCAACCAGGCTGGAATCAAATCAATATAATACATTCTAAAAAAAAAATAGATGACAACAACTTTTGGAGGAAGTAACTGAATAAAGGAATTACCCAGAATGCTCTGCCCTCGGAATGGGTATCCATTGAAGGTAACAGGGTGGGAGTGGTCAGCCATCACTATGGTGAGAGTTTCCTGCTCTTTGGTGAGTTCAAGGCCCTTGGCAATGGCGTAGTCGAAAGCAACCGTCTCATGGAGCGCCATGAACGCCCGGCCAGCATGATGAGCCTGGTCAATACGCCCGCCTGACCACAGAGAGAGGAAGGGGTTAATGAGTAATGGCTTCCACTACTGCTTCGTACTTTAAGTGACAGAGAGGACATTTGATTTTTCCCCTTAAAATGAGAAAAAGTGTTTTTTTTAAATTTCACAGTGACAGTTTAATTAAACCACAGACCACTGATTAATTTTCTCATTTGTCAGAGTTTAATTAGGCTGACTCATTAAGACAAAGATTTATTTTACTCAGAAGTAAAACATTTATAAAGAAAATAATGTGATTCAGCTACTTGGTCCAGCAAATAGTAAACATGGTAGAGCTGTAGACCTTAGACTTGGATTTGACTTCTGTGAAAGACTTGGTTTGAGATTTAAAAGAACATTCAAGGTCGAAGAATTACAAATAAATAATTGTTAATCCTATATATTAAAAGAACATTGTCCTAGTTATGTAAAAAAAAAAAAAAAAAATACTTTTAAAAATAGTTTTAAAACCAGCTGTTTTAATTGGAAACATGCAGAGACCTAACTGATTAGCAATTTTCTGAGGACATCTGATCTAACTTTGACTTTTCCTTACAGACTTGGGACTTATCTTGAGACCTTCTATTATAAGTCTTGAGATTTAACTTGGAACTTATTGTCTGGAGTGACTTGAGATTTGACATGGACTATTTTGAAATGTCTTGTCATTTGACTAGGACTTGATTTGTATCCATTTACTTGTTACTTTCCTCCAACTTGTCCCTTATGACTTGCGACTTGACTTTAACAACTTAGGACATTACTCAACTACTAAGTTGCTTCTCTTGACTTTAGACTTGAACATGCATTGAATTACTTGATTGACTTGTCTCAGGTAACTTTAGACTTGACTTGAGGTTTGCTAGACTTACTTTAGATTAGTCTCAGATGACTTGTGACTTGTCTCAAAAGTTTGATAAATCGCTGATGGAGACAGTGAATTGTAATTTTAAGGAGCTAACAACAGTATCAGAAAACACTCTTGCCGAGTGTATCGATGCATAAATATACAGCAGATTGTAGATTCCAAAATTGAGCCTTCGGGATAAATTAAAATTGCAATGCATTTCTAGTCACAATGTTAGAGGTGAGCAGACTGAAAAATATCTCTTGGAATAAAATATAAATTGGGAAATGGGACCCACTTTCTCCAGAAGAGAATTTCTTGCTGTTGGCTCATGTAATGTTTTTTCTTTAGCGCATTCTTCCGTTCCCATCCTGTCCACTAGCTGTATTGGGAAGTGAGGTAGACTCCAGTTAATAAGTTGTGGGCTGTCAGTGATTGGGTGCACCATATGCCTGCTTCTATTTATACATTTGCCTGTTATTTTAAAGTCATTGTGAAGACACTCGGTAGCACTATGGAGTCCCCAGGCGGCTGCCTCAGATTAAAGGAGAGATGGATGAGGGGGTCGGTGAGGCAGCCGTGTGGAACAGAAGCCCGTCAGCCAACCACACTCGACTATAGCACACACTGCGGCAAACTCATAGAGCTGTATGCAGAATCAATGTCAAATCAACAGATCCACTGCAGGTACACACTGTTCTCTAACGTGCTGTATTGTGGAGGTTGCTGCTACGACAGATAGCAGGACAATCACTTCAAACGAACTCCACATCAGTGCTGAAGTGGCTATAATATAAATGTAAACACATATTGAAGTTTGAGCAAACCACAACAATTACTAGTGCAGTCATGTAATTGCCACTTGGCCCTTTGGGATTGTAACAGGATCAATAATTTAATTGATCAGCAGAGACCAGCCACGTGTTTTTTCCCCTATTTTTAGCAGAACCGTCACCTCTCTAGGGATTTTGATAGATTAAGTGGTGGAAGGTGGGTGAAGCTGTTGTCCTCACCCTCCACTAGCAGGAAGAAGCCTTTAGGGTTTTTCTGGAGGATGCGGATGGCCTTTTCTGTGGTCTCGACAATGGATGGGTCCATGTTTGGGTCCCTCTCCGCCTCAAAGCGCAGGTCACCCGGTTCAAACAGAGCTGAGGGGAGAGAAGGTGCGATCAAATAAAAAGATGCAACAGTGTTTTTTCATGTAAAAATACAGTATGTCAGTTTTATCAGCCCACAATGGAGGTGCTGCAGAAAGGAAAGTCCCATCTTCCTCCTACTAATACTACTATTTTCAGCACACAGGAAGTGATACACCACAGTGTACGGGTAAAATCCAAGTCTCTACAGTAGCAAGGGAGCACTCAGTCCAGAAAAAGCATGATGACTGAATCTCTACATTTCCTCCACACCATCACACATCACAGAGAAGACACTGTACTTCTGTTCACTGCCTGCAGCAAAAGATTCACACATTTCCCTCAGTAGTTGGCAGAGACCAAAAATGTCTTACATTCAGCAGGTGGCCAGAACCACTGTTTCAGCTGAGTTTAGAAGTCTATTTATTACAGATATAACACGGATATCTGGACCCCAAGTAACCAAGCTCAAGGAAGGCTGTAGGTTTGGTTTATCAAAACAGGAAAATTACAGGTGTAAGAAATAACCTTAATGCTGGCTGCATTCCATTTAGATATGCCAAGTTAAAGGGGAGCTTTCTTGTATGCAAACAAAAGTTATGAGCATTATTTACTGTTTCTCATCAAAATGCATACTGTGTATCGTTGAGGTCTACCAAAGCTGTTGCAGGGGAATGCTTTTCCTTATAAAACATTTGCAAGCCGATTAAGTATTTTAATTCCTGATTTTTTTTACATACATCTTTACTAGCTTGAAGTCTTCCAGTTGGCACGTTTGTTGGTCTCCCAGCAGAATAATGTGAAACCATTGGCAGGACTGTGTATTGTGTCACCCACATGTGCCTCCTCATGTGCATGCACAAGACAAACAAAACGGGGGACCCACTCATAAAAATAAAATAAAACTTTACAGAATATAGAATTACATTATGTATCTATCTATAATGGAGGCCAAGAACAAGAAATACTATGATTTGATGAACATTAGGACATGGCCACTTCAGTCTATGTGGAGTTGCTTCACAAGATAAAGTTACGGATTTAAAAAATTAAAGTTATAATATGTTAATCCAGGGTGGATTCCCTTTGTGCATTATGATTGGTTTCTAGTCATAATGCTTGCTAAGCTAACTGGCTGCTAGTTCCAGCTTCAAACATTCGAAGGGCAAGAAGGAATTAAGGGTATTTCCCAAAATGTGGAATTATAATTTTACTAGGAAAGTATGGTGAAGCTGAAGCGTTGTTGTTATGGTTACCTTCGGTTAAAGCTGCAGTTAGTAACTTTTCTAAAACTTTTTGTCATATTTGCAGAAACTTTCACTATATCCTGACAGTGGCATATAGGACAGATCACAGAACAAAAACAAATCAGGTTCCTTTGGCTCCTCCTAGTGCTCCTAATAACATTTGCAAGAATCTACCAGGCCTGAATGAAAACAACCAATCAGAGCCAAGAAAAATGGAAAGACGCTTTGAGTAGGTGGCTTGAAGATAGCGGATTGTTGAGTCTAATTCCCAGCGTCTGCATTTGACAACCTGGGAATGAGCTTCCGCAATCAAATATCTTTCTTGGCTCTGATTGGCTGTTTTCATTGAGGCATGGTGGATTCTTGCAAATACCCTTAGGAGCACTAGGAGGAACCAGAGAAGCCTGATTTTTCACAGAATATCTGTCTCATGAACTACTGTCAGGATATAGTAAAAGTTCTAGTATGACAAAAGGTTATTTTCATAAACGTTACCTACTGCAGCTTTAAATATACTGCATGCACTAACTAGGAACGGGAGAGAGAGTTTCACTATACGATGAACACATTATTCTAAATAATTTAAAGGATACCCTACAGTCACTTTTACATACTATGAATACAACAATCATAGTAATATGACAAGAGGAGCTAAATGTTGATGTAATCATCTGTGTGTACTGACCACAGTCTCACGCTGTGAATGTTTTTGCACTTTGTTGAAAACATTATGTAGGTCAGGTTTAGTAGTTTGAGTACTTGAACATAGTATATTCATGACTAACATCAATAATACAAGATGAAATGAGGAACCTAGTGCCTGGTGAGTCAACCAAGGACAGTACAGGCCTACTGATGTTGTGTTCTTCAAGGGCTTGATGGGGATGTTCTGTCTTTATGTATCGTTCAGCTCTGCTTGAAAGCAGAGAGGGCAAAGAGAGTAAAAAAAAACTCAACTCACCCATGAGGTAGTCCGTGGTTTCAGGGTCAACAGAATCGAAATCTGTTTTATTCCACACATAGTGGGCTACCTGTGTGACACACAGAACACACACATTTACACACTCAGTGGGAGGAAGAGTAAAAGTGCTTTGAGTCACCAGGTGAACTTTGCTTTATGAGTCACAAACAGTTTTCTCATCTGACAGTGTTTAAGCTGTGAATTCATCTGTAGCAATTCCAAACAAATCAATGTAGTGTTTTTGTCAAATCATTTGATACACTGATGTCAACACTGTAGACAAACAGAGAGTTTTACACTCTATAAGCAACTTCTGCTGTTCTTCTCTTGTTCTTCTGGGTGATAATATTGATTACATATATTGTACTTGTGCCTAAAATGTGGTAACAATTTATGGATAACAAAGTAGAAAAAGCACATTTCACATTTCAAGAGTCAAAAAAGTTTGGTAGTGAGGAATGACAAACAAGGAAAAAAAGAAATAATCTTTGCATGTAAAGTTAAAGAACACTCTCAAGACAACAGAAATACTTCTGGAGGATTGACATCTTTAAAGGGCCAGTTCACCAAAATGGCAAAAAATAATTATATAATTTCTCACTGACCCAGTGGTATCTATCTCTACAGACATTCTTAGCATTATGTACAGACCTTTTGGGATCCATGTCTAAAAATTCTTCCATTCATACACAAAGGAGGTAGAGCATTTAAAAATCCATTTGAAAAACTGGTTAAAACTTTAACCAAATGCAAACGAAAATGGAAATTAAACTGCATTTCCATTGAGTTTGGTGCATCAAGATGGACTAGATGGAAGCGGAAGCAGAGCTTTTTCTCTGGATGTCTTTGAGGGAGAGACCCTACACCCTGAAAAAATGAAAATGTACTTGCTCTGTAAGTGTTTTGATTTCACACCTTGCTGCCCTTCAGTTCCCATTAGTCTGTAATTTTGCAACGTCCCTTTTTATCTGAAACTCCTCACTGAAGCTGTTGCTATAATTAAGGCTGTTTTATTGGTCACAGAAGTGTTACCTTTCCAATTTTCATGCTCTGCCACTCATCGATGAGGTTGCGTCCATCCTTTCTTTTGCCCCTGGAGAAGAAATCCCTGGGGTATTCTGGGTCCTTAGTGCCCTTAGGGGTCATATACTTTCTACCTCCACCAATGATCACCTGGAAAACATTCATAGGCACAAACGCACACATGTAAATGTAAGTTTACTATTCTAAAACACAATCCAATTGTTTCAAGCTGACGATATGAGAATGGACTGAGTTAGGGAGAACCTCACATCTATGTCTGTGTTTTTGAGGAGCTGGGAGGCGATGTCGGTGCAGCCGTCCCTCTTGGCAGCATCAGGCATGTCAGCATCACTGTACCACTTCCTGCTGGCACTGTGAGCGTAGCTGGTTGCCGGGGTGGCATGCTGCACCCGCGTTGTTGTTACGATGCCGACAGACTTGCCTACAAGATCAATTTGTGTAAAATATGAACAGCTCTCAGGCAGAAGTCTGAGCAGCTGGCAGTGTGGTGGCTGAGCCATTAATCAACAACTTTCTTAATCCCTGTAGATATTGTATGACCATGTTGAGGTGTGGGGTAGCAAATCTACTGCTCCCTGTAACCACCTTGATGCACAGCATTGCTCTTTAAAGCCCCCCAGTGACAGAATATATATACAGAAGACAATGTGGCAGCCAGCAGTGCACTACTGGAAGCAACATACAGACTGCACAGACCTTCACCAGGATTGTATGATTGACCTTAAACGTCTATAAATATATAATGTGAAATATGTTATAATCAAATTAAAATCTAGACATAGTGTACTGCATACTGTTCCGACATATACAGTATATTCTTTATCTGTTTGTTCCAACACTTGCCAATTAAAGCAATGATTATATAATGCTACTGAGTAAACATTCAAACCCGAATCATCAACCATAGGCTCTGGGAATGTGTGATGCATTTTCACATTTTGTTGGCATTTTACGGACAAAATTAAGAAAATGATGGTAAATTTATCTTATACTCCAACTGGTTTAAATGGTTATTTTTGCAACACAGATGTTGTGAGTAGAACAATTTGAGGACTTTGTTGTAAACACTAAAAAAACTTTCTTGTACAATGTAATACACACACACAC